GGGTAGAATAGGGCCTTCATTCAATCTCACCCCCATGTCAATCATCTATTACTTCAGACTGAAAATGCTGGAACACTCCTGGAAAGTTGAATCTCTGTTGGTTTTCCTGGCTCAGAGATATCCCTGATAAACACCCCCAGCTGTTCTTAACTATCTCCCTTGCAAAAGCAACACCTATCAGTTCACTATCTCTTTAATGGTTCTGAGTCTTCAGCTGCACAAGAAAATCCATTCATCAATTATAGATCAATAAAGGAAGAGAAATCTGAAGCTGATTTGATTGCCCTGTTGTCCCCGCAAGCTTACCGATGCAGCCACAAAACTTTGCAGACTGTCAGGCCTGCGATTTATTTTATTGGCCAGTGCGACTCCCTCTTCCGTTGAGGAAAAACACTCTGCAGCAGTAGCTAGTTAGTTGTTTTTTTCTCTCTGCCACGCATCCCTCTCCGCCGGAGAACTGGCAAGGTTTAGAGGCCAGGGTGGTTGAGCGGTTGCAGAGGTGGACGGGATTGCTCCGGTGCATCTCCCTGCATGGGAGGGCACTAGTACTTAACCAGTTGGTCCTGTCCATGCTCTGCACCGGCTCAGCACCCTGTGCCTAGCCCCGGAGGTCCTGGCCAAGCTCCAGAGAACAGCCCTGGAGTTCTTTTGGCCAAGACTGCACTGAGTCTCTGCAGGCGTTCTGTCTCTTCCCCTGGAGAGGGCGGGGGACCAGGGCCTAGTCTGTGTGTGCAGCCAAGTCCAGACCTTCCGCCTCCAGGCCCTGCAGAGACTCCTTTACAGTGCATGTAGTCCGGCATGGAGCACTTTGGCATGAGCCTTCCACTGCTGCCTCCGAGGGCTCCAATATGACTGACAGCTCTTTTCTATCCACTCGAGGGGGCTTCTGCGAGACCTCTCAGAGTTTTCGGAATTCTACCAGGAACTCCTCCAGACGTGGAAGCTGTTCTCAGCGACCAGGTCCATTGTGGCCACTGAGGGGGCAGACTTTCTTGCGGAGCCCCTGCTCCACAATCCAGCCTTGTGTGTGCAGATGGCAGAGTCTCCCTCGGTGCGCAGGAGGCCTATTCTGGCAGAAACCACCAAGGTTGGAGACCTCCTGGACATGACAGGGGGGACTGGATGGATCCCCGAGCACTCAGCGCATGGGGCTCTCCACCCCCAAAACCTCCCTGTGCCTAGTCCAGGAGGTGAAGGTGGCTTTGGAACAGCCCGCTCTTGATTTCCTATAGCAGTCCCTGCGAGAGGGTATGCCCTGCCCCTCCCTTCCTGCAAACCCTCTGTCCATTGTTATAGGGCTCCTGTTCCGTGCCCCCCCCCCACCTTCCCCATTCCTGAACCCCCAGCCGGCTGCAGGATCTGCAGCTGGTCTGCTTCTGAACCACACCAAGAGAACATCTGTACACACTCGTGCTCCATACAGTACATTTCCTAACCCTTGTATCCCGCCTCGATACCAAGTGAGGGGACTACTTAAGACCTATTGAGGGTGGGGAACCCTGATGGGCCAGCGAGTATTCCATCCTAATCCTGCAGCCCATCATGGACATAAGTTGGCGGCTCCTTCATGGAGCTGTGACCACGGGTGTGTACCTGGCATGGTTCACCCCTATCCCAGACACCTGCCCCTTTTGCGGCATGAGGGAAAACCTGGCAAACACATACCTTGAATGTGCCAGGTTGCAGCCCCTATTCTGGCTCCTCCAGAACCTCTTAGGGTATGTCTACACTACAGCGCTAATTCGAACTAACTTAGTTATCATTTTTCTGAAAAAACTCTGTAGCATAGTGAGGGAAGGGCCTATTTCCGTTCCTGCAGCCACTCACTTATCCGGGCAGAGTTCCAATGGGCAGCGTCCGCTGGCTCTCTCGAGACCTTCGGGGGGCAGTGGGAGCTGTCTGGGGTTCTCTGCTCGGTGTCCCCATCCGGTTCCCTCGTTTTAACCCTTTGACCCTCACACCCGTCCCTGTTTTTTCATTATTTGTCCCCAGTAATTAGTTGGTTTTTCCAGATTCTGTGGACCCTCCCCTCAGGATGGGGGGAGGTCCTTTAGATGTGGGCAGGCTAACGCCCTCCCGCCTCCTGAATACCCCCCAAAAAAGTAGCTAGTTAGCAAAACGGGCAGATGGGTTGTATGCCACAAATAGCGAGGCAAACTCAAAACAAGCGCCAGGACCCAAGGAGATGGGCAGTTTCTCCCAGGCTACAAAAGTCTAGGCTTAAAAGTCAGTCAAAGCACAACCCAAACCAAACGCAACCATGCCGAGCCCGATTCAACGCCAATCTCCAGCAACATCCTGCCCTAACTGACCAAGTGTCTTTAAACAAATGGCATTTTCCGAGCACCAACTCCGCTGGCCCTGCGTTGTTTATTTGTGGTGACTTTGCGTCTCTCTCATGGCGCACAAAGATTTTCATTATTTTAACCGTTTGTTTTAGCAGGTACAGTGGTGGGAAACGTTTCCTCGGGGAAGGTGAACTCTTGCGCTCGTTGCTGGCTCGTTAAAAAGAAACAGTAGTCTGGATAATAAAAGTCAAAGCCGGGCTAAAGATGTGGAAGTTCTGGTCAGACTTGTAGAAGTGCATTTTTATTGTCTCTCCATATTACATATCTTACGTTGCATGCTAATTACTCTGTTTAAAATACCAGTGCGCAGTACACAGAAACAGGAGTTAGTGAATATTGCTTCTAAGACAAGCCTGGAAAACTTGGCAATATCTTTCGCCTTCTATGTTAGGTTAATCGCCGAGACATATTACATATTACCTAGGATTTCTTGTAGCTAAAAGAGTAGCAGGACAACTGGATTTTTTTTTTTTTTTTTTTTTTGGTGTTGAGTGTTCCGAGGTGACTAAATTTGCCTGGTTGAGCCTTGTAAAATCCTGACTTAATCATGTAAACTTCTATGTAAGCAAAATAGACGAAACTTCAAAGGGTCAAAAAAGCCTTTAGGGATTTGTGCTGAGACGCCAGCAATAGATCCTAATCTGCCTTCAGAATTCTGACTATATTTGTCCAAGGAGCTGGTCCCAACAAACTTTCTAAGGTAGAGATCGTGGGTTGATTCAGCCTTTATCCCGAGAGAGTATTGGCTTTGAGAGGCTCCAGGCAGCGCTTTAACGCCAAGGGATCTCTACTTGCCCAAAAACCTCTAGAAATGAAGTACAAGAGTAATTTGAGATAATGACTTTGTAACAGGCTTGGGCAGAAGTGAGATGTTATCACCCCAGCATTCCTCTTAAAATGCAGGTTTTTTTCCCCTGCTTATTCCCGGTTAGTCAAAGCTGCATTAAAATTCCATCCAGGGCTGCTAAACAGAATCTTAATTAGTTCTGATACTCTTGTGCAAGGGGTTTATTCATTGCACTCTTAACTAATGGTTGCTGTCAGGGTAGGGTTTTTTTCCCCCTCTTTGGGTTCTTTGGGGATATCGTGTTCTGCTGCAAAGCATGACAGAAATGTAATGTGCATGCAAAAAAAGCTTGCAGATCTGAAATCTTCAGGCTGAGCTTGACTCCAGCTCTGTCTAATGGAGAGACGTTGTTAGGACTAATGAGAATAACTTCCACAGCAGATATTGCCCCGCCTCTTGTTTATCTTAAAATTTAGTGGTGCGCTTCTTTTTTTTCCTTGTCAGAAAATACCACGAACTTGCTCGTGTTTTAAAACAGTTCACACAACTCGCGCTAAATTTGCATTTTCGTGTTTTATTGGCCGCCCCCACAGCTTGGTATGAAGAGAGAGCCCGTAGGTGGTGAAACATTAGCAAGTTACTCAGCAGCTGGTTGCTCTTACGGGACCTTTCTCTTTCCGTTGTCACTTACACCCGCATTTTAGAGATCGCTTTTCTCCAAAGTATCCCTACTATTTATATGTACCATTCTATACCTAGAACGCGAAGTTTTGGACTTATTACGATATCAATAGAGTGGGATCTGAGCATATTATACATACACATAATGTGATGTAAACATCCCTCAAGGTTATTTGTAGTTCGCGACTGAGTCGTGACAATAAACATCATGGGCGCTTGGCACTAAAAAGAGAAATATAATAGGGATGACTCGCCTTTGACGTTAAATTAAAATGACTGTTTCATTTATCGGCAACGGCCTATAGTAGTTATTTGCCTATAAATCCACGTTTTGCTACAATGATTTAGGAAACAGATTTATAAGACTATAAATTATTGTTTATTTCATTCGGGAGAGGGGGAAACAGATACGCCTTCTGGAAATATGAGGTGCATGTCAGTTACCCTCTTCACGTCTTGTTCTCCCATATTAAACGCTCCTTCCAGTGAGCTTGCGTAACATTGATTACTCACAAAGAGTTCAGGATAACTATCATGTAGCTAAACTAATTGAGACAATCATGCTAAGTTATAGTCAGTCTAAAAGGTACCATTGATGTGGTAATGCCTATAGAAAATCAGACATGCGACTCACTACCATTTAATTGCTCTTTAAACCTGTTATTACAATGTTAACTGGCTTAAGTATATATTGCTGCCTTTTATTGCCTTGATGTGACAAATTAAAACACACACTCTGGAAGCTGCATTCATTTGTGGTCAGTTACAGAAAAGGGAGCGGGGTGATAGCAAAGCTGTCAGGCTGAATTAATTTGAAAACTTTCACTTAGCCTGCAATTCCCATTGCAATGGTTTTGTAGTTGGGGGAAACATCCCATCCTGCTATTTTTAATTCATTGGTCTTCAACGTTAGTCTACCGATGTCTCCGTAAATACTATTTAGCTCCAAGGAAAGGGTGTGGTCAAAACAGATATTTAGATTTTCAAAACGTTGACCAAAAAGGATTCAAATGTTTAATAGTTAAGGCTGTATTTTTGTGTATTTATTTCAGGTATCAGGTCTGGTGAATTTAACCAGTCACTTTAAATAGTTGGGATATAACAAATCAGTCATTATTCCT